CATCTCCCCACCTCCCCGCACCTCCCCCATCTCCCCACATCTCCCCACATCCGCGCTCGCCCGTGTGAGCAGGCAACTACTTCCTCTCCTGCCTGCGCTGGCAGCCGTACACGCCGCCGTGCCTCGTCCTGGATAAGGCGGTGCTCTTGCGGGCGAGAGTAGCCGAGAGTAGCCGAGAGTAGCCGAGAGTAGCCGAGAGTACACGCCGCCGTGCCTCGTCCTGGATAAGGCGGTGCTCTTGCGGGCGAGAGTAGCCGAGAGTAGCCGAGAGTAGCCGAGAGTAGCCGAGAGTACACGCCGCCGTGCCTCGTCCTGGACAAGGCGGTGCTCTTGCGGGCGAGAGTAGCCGAGAGTAGCCGAGAGTAGCCGAGAGTAGCCGAGAGTAGCCGAGAGTACACGCCGCCGTGCCTCGTCCTGGATAAGGCGGTGCTCTTGCGGGCGAGAGTAGCCGAGAGTAGCCGAGAGTAGCCGAGAGTAGCCGAGAGTAGCCGAGAGTAGCCGAGAGTACACGCCGCCGTGCCTCGTCCTGGATAAGGCGGTGCTCTTGCGGGCGAGAGTAGCCGAGAGTAGCCGAGAGTAGCCGAGAGTAGCCGAGAGTACACGCCGCCGTGCCTCGTCCTGGATAAGGCGGTGCTCTTGCGGGCGAGAGTAGCCGAGAGTAGCCGAGAGTAGCCGAGAGTACACGCCGCCGTGCCTCGTCCTGGATAAGGCGGTGCTCTTGCGGGCGAGAGTAGCCGAGAGTAGCCGAGAGTAGCCGAGAGTAGCCGAGAGTAGCCGAGAGTACACGCCGCCGTGCCTCGTCCTGGATAAGGCGGTGCTCTTGCGGGCGAGAGTAGCCGAGAGTAGCCGAGAGTAGCCGAGAGTAGCCGAGAGTAGCCGAGAGTACACGCCGCCGTGCCTCGTCCTGGATAAGGCGGTGCTCTTGCGGGCGAGAGTAGCCGAGAGTAGCCGAGAGTAGCCGAGAGTAGCCGAGAGTACACGCCGCCGTGCCTCGTCCTGGATAAGGCGGTGCTCTTGCGGGCGAGAGTAGCCGAGAGTAGCCGAGAGTAGCCGAGAGTAGCCGAGAGTAGCCGAGAGTAGCCGAGAGTACACGCCGCCGTGCCTCGTCCTGGATAAGGCGGTGCTCTTGCGGGCGCGGCTTTCCTTGTTTGCGGGCGCGCGCGCGCACCGTTGCGAGTCCAACCCTCCCCCTCCCCCCCCCCCGCTCCCCTTTTCTCTTTGCAGGCGGTCGATGCGGCGGTCGAAGCGGCGGGCGGAGGCGCGGCCGCGGCCGCGGCGCCGCCCCCGCCTCCGCCTCCGCCTCCGCCTCTGCCTCCGCCGCTGTCGTTTGCCCGTGCCTGGGAGGGTCGGTCGGTCGTGGCACCCGCCCCTGCGGCGCCTCCTCCCACCGCGACCGCCCCCCTCCTCCTCTCGGCGAGGACGGTGCGCCCGCCACCGTTTGCCGAGCGGTCGGACGAGGGGGGCGGCGGCGGAGGAGGAGGAGGCGGAAGAGGAGGAGGAGGCGGAGGAGGAGGCGGAGGCGGAGGAGGAGGAGGAGGCGGAGGAGGCGGCGAGGGCGAGGGCGGCGGCGAGGGCGGCGGCGAGGGCGGCGGCGAGGGCGGCGGCGAGGGCGGCCGCGTGTCCGAGCAAGGCGAGGTTGCGGCGCTGCGGGCATACCTCTCCCCTCGCTGCCGCTGCTGCTGCTGTGAAGAGAGGCGCGTGTGAGGCTGCGGCCCGTCTTGTGAACTTAGGTGCGCGACTCCCTCAGAGTGGTGCCTCAGAGGGGTGCGATCTGAGTGTCGCGTCTCTGATCAACCGGCCTGTGAACAGGCGCAGCTCGCCTCGCTGCAGCGGCTGCTGCGCGAGGAGAGGCTGAAGCGGGCGGCGGCGCACTGACCGCGGCGGCGGCCCGGGGGGGGGGGGGGGGGGTTTACCGCTGGCGGTCCGTCTTGGGGGAGCTGCTGATCTCTCTGTGAGGTGAGGGACTTGGGAAGAAGCGCATCCAGCGGGACGCTATTTTCTCTTTTTCGAGTATGCGCTCGACAGGAGTCAGGACTTCTCCCCTCTGGAGCTCAACCCTCAACGCCGCACCCGCGCGCGCACGCGCCGGTCGCCGCGCCGCTCGTCTGACGTCTCTGTAGACTGTACTCGTGAGTCGTGTACTAAGTCTGTCGCGCTCGCGCGGGCGGGGGGCGGCGCGGTTTTGCGTTTAGGCACGAGACACGAGACGCGAACGACGGAGAATGCAAAGCGGGGCGAGGTGGGTGGACACTCTCACAAAAGCGCGCCACGTACATCGATGGAGAAAGGAGGAGCCCCAGGGGCGGCGGGGAAAGAGGCGCGCGCGGGAGGGAGGGGGAGGGAGGGGGGCACATGGCGACGACATATTGCAATAGCGGATGGGGAAGTGGGGTGGGTGGGGGGGGGGGGGCCGTTGGGGGTCTCAAAGAGTGTCACACCCCGACAGGGGCCACTGAAGAGGCTGCTGCTCGCGGCAGCCAGCTGGGGCAGAAGGGGGGGGGGGGGGGGAA